ATCATTATCATCATCGTCACTGTCGTCATCAGTTTGGCTGTCGTCATCTTGACCTATAGTTATTATAACTGGTTCCATTTCCTCCATAAATTGATCATTTTCCCAAAATTTATCTTCAATGTCCCTAGCATGTTGACAAAATTTCTGCCAATCATTAATGGATATTAAGGACATCGCTTCCTGAGTAACTTCTTTCAGTGCGGTTAAACTGAAGTTTCCAGTGGTATTGCGGCTTCTTATATGAAATTTAAGCTTTGCCCAAGCTAATTCTATGGGGTTTAGCTCGCATAAATAAGGAGGTGTTCTTAGAGGAGTATGTCCATGTGATCTTATGATCCGATCAACTACATAATTTTTTTGGTTGTCAAGGCTTATGAAGTAAGACCAGATCGAACAAGTCAAATTTTCTGGCAGTTGCCTCATGATTTATGCCTATAAAATATTTTATTGTATAGTTTGATATGTACATGCATGTTTGGAGTCATAAGTACCTTTCTTTGTCAACCAGGCCATTATATCTTTTTTCGAAGATGATTTTGTCGGGGTTTTATCTTCCTGGACGGAATGATATGGAGCATTGTCAAATACTATAACCGAATTGGCAGGTATATTCGGGAGGAGTTTTTCTGTGAGCCAGCGTGTGAAATTTTCCCGATTCATCTGACCGTGGTAATCGCCTGTAGCTAATCCCGCCTTAAATATCAAACAGGCATTGTCAACAAATCCATTTTCTGAACCTGCATGCACTATAATGAGTCGACCTAAAATATACAAGACGATTATATAATATGTTACAAATCAGAGTTAAATTTAACATATATATAGCATTTTTGCTTATCTGTAGAACCTATACTGCTTATTACACCAGAAACAGTTTCGCTCTGCCAGCATTTTTTGAAAGTCAAGTCATTGTCCACCCAGGTTTCGTCCAAATAAACAATGTTGCGCCCTTCTTCACGATATCTACGTATTTCACGGATGTATTTGACCTCCATTGCAATATATTAGGCCTCTCCATCAAAACTTTTCTTTTATTTTGACATTTGCGCCAAAAAAAACCATTTGATTTTAATAAACTCCTGAGTGTTTCCCTAGAATAGGGGAAATTTGAGTCTTCTCGCAACTTTTGTAATAACTTCCTAGTTGTCGGGACAACTTTATATTCAAGATAAAATCTGTTTATCAAATGTCTAATAATCTGAAAATCAAAATTTTCATCTTTCTCAACAAGAGACTGACGCGGTCTTTTTTTTCCGGGACTGGATAACATTTTATTCGGGTTATTTTCTAGTCTTTCTTTATCTTCGTTATGAATTTTCCTAACAGAAGATAGTCCGACTCCGGTATAAAGGGACACCCTATCAAGCTTACGTTTAAGCGGCAACTTGAGGGAATTGTTTGCCGCTTCCTCATCGCAAACCCTATAAATAATCATCAGAATGTTAGCTTAGCATTTCCTTGTTTTTTATTTATATTCAGACTCAGTAGTCAAAAACTACAATTATTGCATATTATTATTACTAACCTATAAACATTCGCAATCACTTCTCTTGTTTGGCTATGAAGCGTCTTTCCGCGAGTGAATTGGTTCATTTTAAAAAATAATACTAAAACGAATAACAATAACAAATAACAAAACACTAAACTATTCAAAAACACACAGCACTAAACATACAAACTTAATAGAACAATTAATAGTTAACAATAATAGTTGTAAAACTTATACACGACAATCAACGGAGATAAAACCTACGCCACTGGACTTTTCAATAGTATGGATATTCTAAGAAAGGAGCAAAAAATTGTCTGGGACGCTACCCAATAGGGAGCCGAATTTTCTCATGGCGACAAAACATGTGAGGATATCCGCCAATCAGATTTGTTTAGGCGGTGTCCAATATACCTTTCGGGTGGTTGTTGCCAGCTCAACCCCTGTCGATAATATCTTTGGAAAAATGTTTACTTATGATACGATTCAGTAGTAAAAAATAGTTATTAAATACAAATAGAGCTAACAACCCATTAAAATACTCAGTATTTTGAATTATTATTTTTTGGAATTGTGAAAAATCGATTTTCAAATCATTGAAATTACTTTTATTATTATTATTGCTTTTTTGTAGTTAAATTTGGCAAAATCGAATATTTTCGGTCGCATTCCTTTCGCTGTTGCAGATCCGTTTGCCAAACTTTACTAGCTCTCGAGGACTGGACTCTCAGGAGGAACGAAGTATCTAGAAAAAACAATATAAACACAACACAAAAACATCTGTCAAAAGCTTTATTAGCTTTTTGTATGTAGTTTGATCTTCGAATATTCAAGTTAATAAAGGTCCATACAGAGGCTGACACCTTTACCCAATTTCCACTAACATCGAGCATGTCTTTGATATGTGTAACAGTTAATTAAAATCGCTTTCGTAGCGTCTGAGATATTTGATATTGAAGATTGTTTTGCACCCTGATAAGAGACTTTCTCGGACTACTAAAAAGGATTTCAAAATACAAAAGAAAAACGGTTTTTTTTTCAGAGACGACGAGACGTATTACATCTTCTGGAAAGTCCTTCAAATATATCCAATATATATCCTAGAAAAACTTACTGCAATCCTGTATAGTAGAGTAGGCCAAAAATAACAGACTTCTTCGAGAGCTAAACTTTATTAAAAATACATTAATTTCCATTAGTTAACAATATTGATAAAGAAGGCGTTGCAGATTGTTAGTGAATTCGTTTTCATTTATCGATACTTTTACTCTCACATGCAGAAAAGAACATATTAATTAAAATAGTTTCAAATTTCCAGATATCATAAATGAGTCACATATATTCACAATTTCTCAAGCTCATCAGCTTTCAACTCGGATGCAATATAAGTCGAATTAAAGGAGACCATACAGTGTAAAGTTTTTTAAATGCCGGTTCAACAACAGAAAACAACAAATTACATTCAAAGGCTTATACAGGGTGTTTCAGTTTATTGTTGCATAACTTTAAGATTCGATAGAACTTTTAAAATTAATGCATAAAATCATAAACATGGGTCGAAAAATGCGTGGCTTCCGAAATGTTTAAGTTTACTTTCTAAAATAGTTTTTTTTTAAATATTTCGAACAATATTTGATGTATAACAGTGAAAATTGGTATACAAGGGTTTTTTGGTACGACAAAACGAACCATGGGCATAGTTTTACTGTAGCCGCTAGAGAGCGCTCTCTACTGTACCTGTAGTGTATTAAAATGACTGAAAATTTTTTCTTAGTGCAATTTTTTGCTTTTTGAATAAAAAAACTGATCCTTCGCACTTTTCAACATAAAAAAGCTCTCTTGTGAATTTTCGTTGTAGCTAGCCGTTTTTGAGATATTTCGATTTTTATGGTTCGATGCATTTTTAATTATTTATAATAAAATAACGTTAAAAAGTCAGTATCTCGATAAATTTAGAAGTAGGCTGTGCCTGCAAATATTTTTGAAATTGAAAGCAGAATAAGGTTAAACGTCAATTAGTTGACAGTTAGTTTTGTTGTCTGTTGAAACCTGTAACGTTTTTTTGCAATTGTGAATGCACGAAATTAAGTTTCTTTTACCTGTTTTTTTTTTTGTAAGTTTTATAAAAATGCCATTTTTATTCTCCAATCAAGAGTTAGCGAATATTCATTTTGTGTATGGCTTTGTAAATGGAAACGCAGCAGAAGCAGCCAGAGAATACGCACGAGTATTTCCAAACAGACGGCAACCAACTCGCTCAGTATTTGTAAGAGTGCATCGCCTAATAAATGAAAATGGTTTCGGAAATCTCCAAAGGGATCAAAACATAAATGTTCGTCAGCGCAGATTTACCCGTATGATTCTGCGTGAGTTTGATAGAGATCCGACCACAAATGTTAGGAGAGTTTCTGGTGCCTTGGGAATTTCAGCAAGCCATGTTAACCGTGTTCTTAGAAATGATCATAGACGTCCTTACCATTTGCAACCTGTGCAAGGACTACAGCCAGGGGACGGAGAGCGAATAATCACATTTTGTCAGTGGATTCTTAATAGAACTGATAATAATAGGGAGTTTTTAAGTAACGTTTTATGGACCGATGAGTCATGCTTCACTAGACGTGGAAGGGTAAATTTTCATAATCAACATATTTGGTCGCATGAAAATCCGCATGCAGTTCGGGAAAGAAATTTTCAGCATGAATTTAGTGTGAACGTGTGGATTGGTATCTACCGTAATCGACTATTTGGACCCTACCTTCTGCCTGCAAGGTTAAATGCTGCGACCTTTTTGGAATTTTTAAACGCTGAACATGCAAATATGTGGGATGATGTTATGTTAGATTTAAGAAGATTGGCCTGGTTCCAGCTTGATGGTTGTCCAGCTCATTATTCGAGAATAGTTAGAAACTGGCTGGACGAAAATTATCCAGAAAGATGGATCGGCCGTGGAGGACCAGTCGCCTGGCCTCCACGATCCCCTGACCTAAATCCATTAGATTTCTTTGTGTGGAGATTTCTAAAAGAAAAAGTGTATCAGACTCCCGTAACCACAAGAGATATGCTAATAGACAGAATCAGGAATGCATGTGATGAAATAAGGCCTTATTTGAATAATGCTATACCACGTTCGATCATTCGTAGATGTGAATTGTGTATTAAACAATTGGGTTTACATTTCGAGCAACTACTTTAGATTTTGTATGTTTGTCCTAACTATCCAATAGCATTTTAGTTGTAATTAATTAATTTAATTTGTTAAAAATAATATTGGAAAATTAAACAAATTAATATTATGTTTTTTGTGTTTATTTGGAGTTAGGAATTATTACTGTGTTTAAAAACACAATTTAAACGATCATCTTAATTACTTGTAATGCCCAAATCGAAATTGTAAAAAAATATTATTTTCCCATAAATAATTAAAAATGCATCGAACCTTAAAAATCTAAATATCTCAAAAAGGGCTAACTATAACGAAAACTCACATGAGAGTTTTTCTATATAGAAAAGTGCGAAGAATCAGTTTTTTTATTCAATGAGCAAAAAATAGCCCTAAAAAAAATTTTCGGTCATTTTAATACACTACAGGTACAGTAGAGAACGCCCTCTAGAGGCTACAGTAAAACTATGCCCATGGTTCGTTTTTTCGTACTAACTTGTATACCAATTTTCACTGTTATAAATCAAATATTGTTCGAAATATTTAAAAAAAACTATTTTAAAAATTAAATTTAAACGCCCTGTATTTCGGAAGCCACGCATTATTCGACCCATGTTTATATAGACTTTATGCATTAATTTTAAAAATTCTATCGAATCTTAAAGTTATGCAACAGTCTTTCACTATACACATATACACTGCGTATCTACAGTAATAAGCAGCATATCAGGGCAATGCAAATTACCCTTGACCAGACTGCAACTTATAGAACTTATAATACAAGCCCTTCCTTTCGAGTAATTCGGTATGAGTTCCGATCTCTGCGACAAATCCTTCCTTTAAAACGCAAATAACATCTGCATCTTGAATCGTGGTAAGTCTATGCGCAATTGTGATGCAAGTTCGTCCCTTCTTGGCATTATCTAGGGCTTCTTGTACTATCTGAAATAGACAAAAAATAAAATTCTTTGACTCTTCGTAATGTTTTGTCACCATAGCTAAATTTCATTTCACTAACAAAGCTCTGCATATCTTTATGTTGATGATTAGTGTAGGTTTTTGAAAATATTAGTTCATATGCAGCAAATAATGTCGAAAAACTCGAGTCTAGAAGAAATTCAACCTAACCATAGGCTTAGGATTTTTCCCTGGCTAAATGCAAATTCATGCACACTTACCTTTTCGCTCTCGTTATCCAATGCAGAAGTGGCTTCGTCTAACAACAAAATTTTTGGGTTCCTTACCAGTGCTCGAGCAATTGCTATTCTTTGCTTTTGGCCTCCAGAAAGCTGAGCTCCTTTTGTGCCTAGTCTAGTTTCGTAACCCTAGGAGAAAAAACACTGTGACTATAAAACCAGCTTGTCGGTATATTTGTCATGCAGAGATGACAGCTTGAAGCTAGAGTAGAACTGCATTGTAGAAATATCTCGGGATTACGCTACTCAATTTTTTTGAGTAATTTGTCAGTCCGAAGAAACCGTACAATGGATCGATCTGCCGTGCTGCAGGGTTATTAGGGATACATTGAGGAATAAAAAAGCCTAAAGACATTAGCCTTCCCATGAGCAGTCCCAAAAATACGGTCGATTTGCCAAAACAAGGCAAAAAGTAACTTTCCTTGATTTTTTTGCACCTACGAAATCAAAAAAATTTCCTCAAAGGTTGCAATCAAATCTTATAGGAGATTTATTCCAGATTTGTTACAGTTTATCAGTGGTCGATCACAAAAGGATCCTTTTTCGTATCGAGATTTTAAAACAAGTTATGGAAGCTGAATAAACCGTAGACTAAAAGGAAGAACGCAAATATCTTACTTGTCCTATCTGTTAGAATTGCATGAGAACTGTTACTCGTAATGGTTTTTTGCTAAGAAGCCGGAAAAATAAAATCATGAAGCTTCAAAATCGTTTTTCTACGTTAGATAACCATACTTCACCAAAATGAAGCATGTCAAAAATTACCGAAAATTTTGGATTTTTTCTTGCTTCCTCAATTTTTTGAGTAGTGTATTTAAAACTGTAACCAGTCCAAAAAGTATTTAAAGAGATAGTAGTCATGGGATTCCACTGAAATTTATATTTTAAAAATAAAGATGCCGACTGATATGCAAGAAGCTTTGGCATTATGCCTTTTCAGAAAACCTACCTACCTGTGGCAGTGACATTATGAATTGGTGAATATTGGCAGACTTTGCAGCTGATATAATCTCCTCCATGGACACTTTCCTGTGATTAGCACCATAATCAATATTTTCAGCAATTGTTTTATCGAACAAATTCGGCTCCTGCGAGACTATGCCAATCTGAGATCTCAATTTTCTGAAAAATTTATAGAAGCTAACAAAAAAACAAACACAATGAATAGGAGGCAAGTCATTTTATTGAAAAAGCTTCGTTTGATGTAATCTCAAGCACCATAGGTCTACGTACACGGGCAAAACATAAAGCAAAACGTAAACAAGATGAGATTCAACCCTTAGATCAATTATTTAAGGTAAATCCCAACAAGAGTTCAGAACATTTAACAAATAAGACTACACCTTAACTCCATCAATTTGATATCTACATCATCCACAGTGATTTCTCCATAGCATGGATCATAAAACCTCTCTAACAGTTGGATTATGGTAGATTTTCCACAACCACTTGCACCTACCAAGGCAACAGTTTTCCCTTTGGGGACAAACAAGTTCAAACTATTTAACACTGATACCGATGATCGTGTTGGATAAGAGAAGTATACTTGAGTGTATTCAACGTTATCATTTTCCTAAAAATAAAGTAAGAATAAGGCAAGTTCGACGTTAGGTAAGTGAGGTAAATTAAAGGAAGCAAACTCATGTATTATAGTTGATAGAATATAAAGGCACTACCGACTTTTTAGACATACCCAAGTGGTTTTAAGAGGATTCGAGATGTTCCTTATGAGCGGTACTCTTTCTAACAAACTAAATATTTTAGATGCAGCAACCAGCCCTTTATGAAAGTTTGGTGAAAATGATAGTGCATTTCCGATTGACCATGATCCAACTATAACAACTTCTGTAACCCTGAAAATGAGATAAAATAAAGGAACATCCACAAAAATGTTGCTTCGTGCAAAATCCTGATAGGAATAGAAGGCAAATAACTGTCAGCTGAAGATGTTTAAGAGTATAGCATTTGAGCAATAATTATTCAGACTGAAAAAGATTTGCCAAAATGTGTGACGGGGCGAGACTGTCCGATATCTTGCTAGGCCGTAGACGTAACAATCGATTTAAAGATCATCAAATGATTGCAAACTGTTAGTCAGCGAATTCACTTTTTGAGCTCTCTATTTCTATTCAGTTACATCCACCAATTATCTGATTTTCTTCCGTCGTATAAACTAATGTCTCCAGTATGTTTTACCAAAAAACCCAAATGCAATGAAGTTGCTAAATATATCTCAATAAGGAATGGTTCTGCTGTATTTGAAAGGGTTCGACAGTATCTGACGAGAAGAGCTTAGACCAGTTATTTATGTTTTTCTAACACAAAAATAATAATCGTGCGATACGAATGAACTCACGAAATTAAGTACAGGTACACATTATGGTGTTCCAAAAAATGAAAGTTATTTTTTTCAAACGCATACCCTCTATTTTTTTTTCATTTGACTTCAACAACTCAAAAAATAAATATTATTGTGATCGGGGAACGACAAGCCGTTTCAGTCAAACTTTGAATTTAAAAGTTAATAGGGATTTCAAAACCTAATTTTTATTCGACAAATAAAACACTTCATTTGTATCTTATATTTCTTAGATATGTGTCATTTAAAGAACATTATTTAATAAATTTTCTTTTCAAATTTTTCTTTTTACAGTCAGGATATGTCCAAGAAATAACACGCCAGAGTGACATGGGAGGTAGATTGGATTCAGATCAATCAGATAAAATTACCATGGTATCAGTAAAAGTTTTCTAGCTTTCGAGATATTGCCACAAAAAGTCACTACTTTTTGTTCCTTTTTTTGCCTGATATGGCTATTAAGAACTTCTAACTTATGAGTTTTTTCCTGGGTACCATTAATACTTGGTTGAGACAACCTAGTACTCATTTCATTGGAAACTAGCACTGTATGCTAAAAAAAATTAATAGATTTGGATTCAATGTGAAAACCTTTACTAAAGTTTGACTAATTACTGTGAAAAAAAATGTACCAGACCGAATCGGCAATAAAATAGTATAACATTTGTAGATTATTTTTACGAAAAATCGAATAATTCCAAGTTTTGTCATTGAAGTCGTAATAACAACGTACGAAAATAAAGAACAACTTATCACTGCTCCCAAATTGGATAAATCTTCAGGCAGCGAGCAGGCTCTGGTAGTTTGAGATGGTATTATTGACTGGAATTTCGAAGGTAAAGTTCATATTCTCTGTTGTGATACTACTACTTCAAATTAACGATGCCTACATTCTTCTCGAGCAAAAACTTAACAAAAAAATGCTTATTTTTGCTTGTCGCCATCACGTCTACGAATTGGTGTTAAAAGGCGTGTTTGAATTCCAATGTTTAAAAAGTTTCGAGAGAGCTGGAAAGGATTGGATCTCGAGAAAATACAGATTTATACTGAAAAGCTGTTATGCCTGAATATTTCAGAGACTGAAAAGCTGCTAGAATTTTATCGTCATGAATTGACCAAAAAAGTTGCTAGAGACGATTATGAGAATTAATAGAGCTTTCAATAATATTTCTTGGCGGAGATACGAGAAAATATTTAAGATTCGACCGCCAGGATGGCCAGAGCAAATCTATTCATTAAAAATAGCCTTACTAAGTTTCCAGCTCAAACTTCCTAATAAGGATGAGACAGCTCTGTTAGATATCTGCCTGTTCATCGTGACAACATACGTGAAACCGTGGTTGTAATGCACTTTAGCGGTAAAAGCACATAACCTTAAAGGCAATACAGTCTTACAAAAGAATTGACAAAACCATTTCAAAAGCAGCTTCACAAAAGTTTGTTGCTAATTTAACCAAAAGAAAGTCCATCAACCTACGGTAAACGTTACATCCCATCGAAATAAGAACTTTCTGATCCACTTTATGGTAAGTTTGACGAATAAATTTTCCTTTGTCATCTTTTACTGCTTCGATATACAGCAGACGCTCGATAACGTAAACACGGGATAATGAAAACTTGCGCTAATGTAAACACAAACTTCGTTCCATAGGATCAAACGGAACGCGCGATAACGTAAACAATGTGTACGCTCGATAACGTAAACAACTCTCGGCGCACGGAAACAGCGCGACGGTAAAATGCTGAAGCCTCGATGATTTATGTCGGGCGTCGGGGAGTCCCCGATTTATGATGTAGAGTGTAGGGGATTCACCTCTGCGATAAAATACAACAAACTCGGTCAGTCGTATGATCGTTTAGGATACGTTTATACGTACGTATGTATTTCATTTTTGAACTTAAGTGAATACATTGAACGCGTTAGTATATTTTACGACTATGGCATCCACATCCTATAAAATAAAGTGTTTAAAATTGAGTGAGAAAGTGAAAATCATAGACGAAGTTGCACTAGGTGCGGGAGTGACACAGTTAGTAAAAAAATCTGGAGTATCGAAAGCAACAATCTGTAAAATTAAGCTTATGAAAACTCAAATTTTACAAAGAACGTGCAATACATTTGGAGGTCCGGGAAAAATAAAAACTTTAAAAAATGCGAAGGCACCTAAAATGGAAAATTCCCTGTATAAATGGTTTTTTAAACAACGGGAAAATCATGTCCCAGTTAGTGGCGAGGTACTTAAGCAGAGAGCGAGACTGTTAAATGAAAAACTGAAAGAAACTGAAAATTTCGTAGCTAGTGATGGCTGGCTACAACGATTCAAAACAAGATATGGAATTCGACTGCTGTCTATATCTGGTGAAAAATTATCAGCAACCATTCAAAGAAAAATTGATGAAAACAATTACCGAGCTAGATTTAAAAATGGAACAAATTTACAACGCAGATGAAAGCGGCCTTTATTGGAAAATGTTACTAGAGAAAACCTATGCTGCATCATTTGAAAAATCTGCCCCGGGAAGAAAGCCGGAGAAACAACGAATAACGTTTCTAGCCTGCACTAATGCTGATAGTTCACACAAAATAAAGCCACTGGTAATTGGGAAAACAAAAAATCCGCGCTCATTTAAAAATGTTAATATCCCTGTTGATTATGACTGTTCAAAAACCGCTTGGATGACTAGCGGTATATTCCTGAAATGGTTCCACAGGTGCTTTGTCCCTCAGGTATGACAATCAATTATCACAAATGCTCTATTCATAATTTGAAGATGTGTTTTCAATTTGTAGGTAAAAGGTTTCCTAAAACAACAGAAGCTTCCAATAAAAGCGTTGTTACTATTGGATAATGCAACAACTGAGGAGCAGGAATGGGTCAATTTTCGTCATGTACATGCCGCCCAACGTATCACCGTTAATTCAACCGATGGACCAGAATATAATAAGACTCACCAAACTATACTATAGGAAGTTTCTACTTGCGTCTGTCTTATCAAAGAATCCTGAAAACTTATCTGAGGCTTTAAAAAAAGTAACATTACGAGAAGCTGTTTTAGATTTACATATGGCCTGGAATGAACTTAACCAGCAAACTATTCAAAAATGTTGGAACAATCTCTTTTGTACCAATAATGAAGATGATGAAGAAGACGATGTCCCTTTAAGCGTAATTAGAGAACGTTTGCTATCCAATAATGATAATGTTATTAGTGTGTCATTGGATGTTGTTGATTTATTGAAAACAGTGAATCCCAACATTGTTTGTACTCCTGCTGATATTAATTTATGGAACGAAGATAAGCAGACGAATGATGCTGATAAGGAGGAGGATATGGACAGTGAGGATGATGAGAACGATCCCATTGAAGTCAGAAGTGTAGTGACTGACGCGCAAGCTATACAAGTTTTTAACCAAGCTTTAGATTGGGCTGAAAGAAAAGAAGTTTCATACACGGATATTTTAGTTCTTCGTAAATTAAGGGCGCAGGCATTGGAAGACAATGCCAAGCGCAAATTTACGCAGACAAAAATTGTTAAGTATTTTTCTTCTAATTAAAAAAATACTTATCGCTGTTAGAATATTTGTTTATTTTGTTAAAAATATTAAGTATTAAACGTTTCTTTTAATAAATCAAATATTATATAAATCACGTTCGCTAATGTACACATTTCGATAATGTGAACCACACTTGGATTAAATTAGTTTACATTATCGAGCGTCTGCTGTAATATGCTAATTGCTAAAATGAGCCAGCATAAACTGCGATTCTGGCAATAGATGGCACCTTATTGTGTCCTGTTTCGATAGATCTTATACCTCAGATAGAGGTTAGTTGCTAGGATTTCGTTTGTTATCCTGACCTGAGGCCAAGCCTAGACGATGCTGATGACTTGCCAAAAAGCGCAAAACATCTCCAAGGTTGACTCTCTGTGGTTGGACGGACATAACCAGTATGTTTAGATGATAGCTATTCTTCGTTTTTTAATTCCATAAAAAAATAAGGATGACTTTGTTTCAATCAAAAGCAAGTCCTTGTTCAGTCGACTGTTTTCTCGATGAGTGTCTAGCTTCTTGGCCACATAATCATTTTTTCCAACACGCTAAGTATAAGGTGCAAACTCTGAGAGCCGTTAGCGATACTGCAGAAAGAGCAGTCAAGTTAATGCAAGACTTCCATGGCTCAATCATTGATGATGAGGAACAAAAACAATGTTTATTACGTTGCGTACAAAAACACAGACAGGTATATCCTGACTGTAAAAAGAACATTTTGAAAAGAAAATTTAGTAAATAATGTTCTTTTTTATGTTATTTGAGCCATACGTCTTTTGTTCAGAGATGTGTACTATAAAAATGTATAAAGTACACAAAGCTGTAATATGATTGTAAATACCATAAGACAAACTCCAAATCAAAACTGTTTCTTTTGTGTAAGGCGATCCAAAGTGAACCCAGTCAGTAGCCAGGCTTCTGGTATAGGTCCTGAGAATTATCAGAAGTTCGGAGATTACTTGTGATCTAACCAAAGGCACAGCTCTGGAGGATATTTTCAGACCATATCATTTGTAAGTTTTTATATAACTCAATAACCAGTGATGATTTGTACTGCTTTTTTTCAAGTTAGTTTCCATATTTCGTTTCAAATCAACTATTTTCAGAGCAACAGAGTTGATATGCAAAGCTCACTATAATTTCAATCAAACCCACATGTTATTGAACGCCCACAGGGCGGTGTCAGGGAGGGCATGGCATCTCCTGGGACTTTAAAATTTACATATTTGTCCTAAGAAAATTCGCTACCTCTGCTCTTGAACAAATTTTGAGGGCAGGTACAATTTCACAAAAAGTTATCTCTTGGCGATGATCAGCACCCCTAAGAAAAATTCCTGTAGGTAGCCATGGACAATAATATTATTGTTCTTAGAAAAAAAGAAATCTGTGAAATGTAGTAACAACATAATTTGATTTTTGTATATTTTTTTATCCATGCAGGTGCCAACAAAGGCTGACGAATGAAAACATCTGGACCATTAGGATGTTAATACTGTTTTGTGGTTCGACCACAGTCATCGTAGAGTTAGTAACGCATCGCAAATGTTGCCAGAGGCCAGAGCCGCGTATTCATTCTGTTTTGAGGACAGGTGTACCGGGAAATCAATGGTGTATAAAATTATGTCTAGTAGCCAGACCGACAAAATGGGCAACATGGTTTTTCGTGATTTACATGTCATATAACATCAAAAAACATATTTTCGATTTTTTTGCGATTACGATACTTCGGAAAGAGGTCGAAAGATTGTCTTACAGATTGGATTGAAGTATTTCAACTCGGGACATGTTACAATTATTATGCTTTGTACTTACTGAAAGAAAGTTCCATGATCAAGCTCTTTATTCATTATGACAACAGCTCCGTATGTAAGAGCAGCAGCATAAGCAAACAGCAACAAGCTCCGGGCCATACCAAGCACAATACCTCTAAAGTGAGCCTTCCTTTCAGCTGTCTTCTGGTATGGCAGTAGTTCCTTGAAGTAAAGGTCCTGAAATACCTTTTCACACCCAAGTGATACCACAGTTCTTATGTTCGAAATTGCTTCCACAGTTATCTAAAAAGCATTGTTGGATATTAGTGGTAGTTTGTTAGGTATAACAAAGAAGTCATATAAATTCTAATATTTCCTGTATGTTATATGCGTGGTTTATATCTTCCAATTTTTCAAACCCTTATTCAAGTATTTCAGCGTTTGGCCTGTTTTAGCATTACAAGCACAGTGCGAACAACGCCATTGAGTGCAATGGAAGCTCTGCTGGATCTCACACCGTTGGATCCAGTGATCCGCGGTGAAGCGAGAGTAGTTGCACATCAACTGTGGAGTCCCGGACGTAAACTCACTCCACTCTCGGAATGTCTGGGTGGAGGGTGGGCTCGAGGGAACAACATCGAAGATAACATTTGTTTTTCGGGATTAACAGCAACATAGATGCTGTTCATCACTACCTTCAATCCAATCGTCCCGCCGTGCTTTTCTTGGCGGAGACAAAAATCTCAGAGTCTGCACCGATTAACCATCTTAACTTCCCAAACTGCGAGGTGCACTCCAATCTGAGAAAGAACGGGGGAGTTCTGGCTTTTATCCGCAGCAGTCTTTCCTGCTCCAGAGATCTTTCTTTGGAATCAGATCGGAAGGACATTCTGTGGCTTCGCCTCAACTCCAAAACATCACCCAAGTTTATTTGATGCCTTTATCGCTCTCCCTCGGAACATAACTAGGATGACCTACTCGAATACCTCGCCGTCCAGATCGACTTCCTGAGCATCAATCATCCCGCTTCAGAGGTAGTTCTTCTCGGTGATTTCAATGCCCATAACGAGCTTTAGTTGGGCTCAAACAAGACCGACGCAGCAGGTCGTGCAGTCGAAGCGTTCGCTCTTACCCAAGGGCTGACTCAGCTGGTGACGAGTCCTACTTTTTTCCGCCGCGTCTCGTCACACGCCAGTAGCCTGCTGGATCTCTTTCTGACCACGCATCCTGCCCCTTACAGCACTGCTGTCCTGTCTCCCCTGGGTAACTCAGACCACGGTGTTGTGGAGGTTGGGTTTCGGTCAGAACCCGCTGTGGCAACAGAAACTCGTACAGGCCGCAAAACTTGGCATTATGGTGGCCGGAATGCCTCTAATTTCACGATTCATTCATTCAGGTTAAAATTTAGGGTTCATCAGACTGTCAGTATGCACGCCATATATAAAATCTATTTAGTTCAAAACCTGAAAACGTGCCACTAAAATATATATGTATGTGTGTGCTGCGCTCAATTATGTGATCGTCTAGTTCAAAGTCAACTTTAGAAAAAATTGCAAAAAAGTTTTGAAAAATATATATTTGGTTTGACCTTTGAGGAACATTAATTTGACATTAAAGAAATCTCTGGATGATCTTGTCGGGTAAAACAAACTCCAGATTTGGATTCAGTTACCCCATAATCCGATATGTGGAGGGTTCCAGATAGAGTCAAATACATGCTTTGACCTTGAGACAACCTATATTTGGCCTCGAAATAATTTCTAGATGATCTCACCTGGTGAAGCACCCAACGACCTGGAAAACATACGTGCGGTTGTTTACAAATGGGTTCAGACATTCTTGAGAAACAACCTCAATGCGACCTCTATATGATCGTTCTGGTAAAACGCGCGCCAGTTGAATTCAATTATCGAAAAAACCGGTAGGTGCTAGTTTTTAAATAGAATCAAACACTCTTACAATTTTTGGCCTTAACATAACCTTAATTTGACCTTGAAATAACCTCTGGATGCCCTCGCTAAATAAAACAATTGCCACCAGATTTGGATTCATTAATCAAAACAAAAAATAATATAGTTTTTCAAAAATGTTGAGCATTTTTTCTAAATTTGACCTTGAAATGGCCTTGAATCCGACGACTTCGGTATTGAAGACAGCGACCTAAAAAACCGTAAGATATCTCTATGGGATCCTTAGATCAAATGCTGATTTGTGTCATGTAAATTGGTCTGTCGGACAGGCTTGAAATCACTCGATGTCTGCTTGAAGAACGTCTATAGTGATGCAGAGAGATTTCCTCATTGTCTCCCATAGGAACAACTTTGGGAAATGTTCGACAAGGGTCCCTACCATATCAGGCTAGCAAAGCAACAGAAAATGTTTGTGGAGCTACAGGAACAACAAATCACAGACCTACATGTCCTCTTAGCCGTTTAGCAGCCAGAGTATCAAAGCATATGACAACACAATGTCTTGCAACCCTCTACAAGGACTGGAGGTGAAATTTCTCCGGCCTTAGCACCTCCCCTTCACCCGTCCTTCTGAGCAAGGGTGATCTGATCACCCCTAAACATCGCCTTAACCGCAAGTTTGATGTGGAGTATCCGGCGAAGGCAGAGTGGGTCTCCGGATGCCGGAAGGTCTCCGAAGGAACTGGGCAGGTCTGGTACATAGACTACTCGGTCATTGAAGAGGGCTCTGATGCTGTACTCTTTGAGCCTAGTACTAGACTATATCTGCCTCTCGGCGGATATACAACTATCTTCCTCGCAGAAATCTATGCGATTCTGGCCTGGCATTTTAGAGCGGGAAGGGCCTGGGAGAGGAATAACAAGCTTCTCGGACAGTCACGCTGCGATGAAAGCACTAAGAGCTGTATCGTGAGTCATTCATACAATTATAGGCCGCCTTTATGACCTCCTTGATTTTCATAGTTTTTCGTGTCCTTCAGAAAGGTAGGGGTATCTAGATTTCTACTGTTTCGTGTCAGCGCTCTACTTTGAGGTTGAATTGTTACAAATATCCATTTACATCAAATTGTTCATGTTTTTGAATTTCATCATCTGTTTTGTCAGCCTTGAATTTCTTAGAAAAAGAAAACATAACCTCACAATAGGAGAGCGCAGTCGCTGGCACAGAACGGTAGAAATCTAGGAGGCCATAATGGCGTCCTACAATTGTAGGAACGGCTGACGATTACAAGATGCCTGCAAGATTACTTTATACTCCAACCACCACGAAGGCCTAAGGCCTAAATACTTATGGGGTACCGTGGGGCATTATCGCTTAAGAACTACCTTAATACAGGTCTTTTCACTGTTTTAGGCAGTCGCAGTATAACTACAGAAATGTATGTCAACTTGCTTTCCATATGAGTTAACCCTTTGCTGATCTTCTATATAAAATATAGCAATGCCTGAAGGTATAACTAAGTTGTCCACACTCTTTGTTAAATTTATTGGAGTATTTTTAGAAAGTGAATGAAAACAACGCATATGTATCACCCAAGAGCAAATAGCAGCTACGTTAAGGAAAACATGCACAGTGCGCAATTTCCCTTAAGGAAGAAAACTCTGCAGATGGTACATTCCATTAAATGAAACGTAAGCGCCAAACCCACTGAAAGGAACGATACATTTGTGGAAGCTCCAAGTCTTTGTGTATCCCATATCTCAATCTCTGACATATGCCTATTAATACACCTCTTCTGACCGTTAGCGGGTAAAGATATGACTTACCTTTGACGATTTCTCCAGCATACTCTGATTCTTTTTTGCATCACTTTGTAACGATTTTTGTTCGAAGTAAATTGAAAATAGAATTAGTGGGGCAAATGACAATAGTAGTAATGCTAGCTTCCAATTTTTATACAACGAGAAAATACATGATATCAGAAGCGTAGAGATGAAGTTTAACAACGCTCCTATTTGTACTCCAGCTGCCTGGAAAAAACGACACAAATTTAGTGCTTGCACAGTTTTATCTAAAGTATTGCTAAACATATTCCACCGCGGAATATACAGAAATTCACTAGCAATGTGTAACCAGTGCTTTTCTAGAAAATTCCCAAAGACTAAGGAGATTCTGAGCGAGATGGTTTTTCCTGACAAGGATATGTATGCAGCGTGTTCGGAAATTGAAGAATAATCCTGAAACTGGAAATACGTCACCTCATGACCTACTCTTTGACAAAATTTTGTTTAGTCAAAAGTATCGCAGTTTTCGAGATATACACCAATCACTTTTTTTTAACAAAAATCGACACTCGACTAGTTAAATTGTTGCCATTTCTACAAATATCAATTTAATGAGCAGTGATTGTTTCAAAATATTCACCATTGATTGTTTCATCGAAATTAGTGTTGTTTTATTCTTGTGTTAAAGCGAAATTCACATTAGACTCATCCTAATGCAACATTTCAACGAAGACTACTTCATTCGTCTAACTTTGACACCCTGTAGTAATAAAAAATGGAACAGGATTATCGTGCTAAATACTTTGAAAATTGGTTATTTAATGCTATTCCTGCAATGGTACTATCATCTAACATTTTGTTTGCTATTTTATTTTTTATAGCAGTTACCAGAAACGTAATGGGATAATTATACCAGACTTTCCTAATTCGTTGGAAGATGTGATAACAGGACACTAAACACCGCCTGATCACCTAAATCAACATTATCCAGGGGAGCGGGTTGGACGCCGTACGAGGGATGTCTTTTAAGTTTTGCATATAGAAACATAGTAGGCCGCGCGGATCGAACGTCAGTACTGAATCTTAACCTCACTCTATAGTAAATTTAAATTCAAAGTTTCACAACAATACGTGCAGTGCAGTGCAGTGCAGTGCAGTCACCAAGTCGTTAGAAAAATGGAAGTCAACCGAGAACATTTTCGCGCCATAATTTATTACTACTTTCAGAGACAATTATCGCAACAAGAATGCCTTGCTGAGTTACTGTCTGTTTTCGGCAACGAAGCGCCGCATCAGTCGACAATTTCCCGTTGGTATGGAGAATTCAAACGTGGACGGGTGAGTCTTAGCGACGATCCCAGGGTGGGTGCACCAAAAACGGCAGTCACCCAGTAAAACGTCGATGCTGTGCGCAAACTCATCATTGAAGATAGACATGTGACATATCGCTAGATTGAGGCGTCCTTGAAGATCTCAGTCCTCGATTCAAAAAATTTTACATGAAGAATTAGGAGTAAGAAAATTAGTTTCTCGTTAGATACCCCACTTGTTGACTGAAGAGCAGAAAGCAGCCAGGGTTAATTGTTGTCAAAAAACGCGTGACCGGAATCTTAAAAAATGTGTACAGCATTGTTAGTGGTGATGAATGGTGGATTTACTGTTATGAACCAGAAAATAAACGACAGTCGGCTGTTTGGGTGTGCCAAGGTGAAGAAAAGCCAACAGAAGTCATCTGTTCTCGAAGTGTTTCGAAAAAGATGTTCGGGACATTTGTGTCAAAAGCAGGTCATATTGCAACAATTTCTCTTAATGAGCAAAGAACTGTTACTGGACCATCCTCCATATAGTCCCGATCTAAGTCCTAACGATTTCTTTACTTTCCCAAAAATTAAAAACAGACTGCGTGGTCAAATGTTCCAGTCACCAGAAGAAGTAGTTGCCGCATTCAAAAATGCCGTCTTGGATCTGCCAGCAAACGAGTGGAATAAGTGCTTCGAAAATTGGTTCGAGCGCATGCAGATGTGTATTAATCTTCGTGGAGAATACTTCGAAAAACAATAAAGTCATTTAAAATTACCTACCGTGTTGTTTTATTTCCATATACAAAACTTAAAAGATATCCCTCGTGGTACTATTTATCTATTGACCAAAAAGATTTCCGACCTAAATCCATTAATTTTTTTATTGAAGTTGCCTAAAGAATGTGGTCTATGGTTTCTGTAAAACAGTTACGTGCAAAAATCTTCTCAGGAAATCTCGCAAAGGAAATGTTCTCGCAAACTAAAAAGATCATTTTCTGAAAGATGCATGCATTATGGCCAATTGTGGCCACTTTGTACACCTGGTCTTGGGAATTTCATTAAAACTTACCATAACAACATCAACCATGTCTCTTGTTCCTTATACGTATCATAAAACATTTTTTTGATATTCAAAAAACAAGACGATCCTCTATTCAAAATTGCTGAATAGCGCAATAGCCAACAAAATGTTAGAAAACGGTGGCATTAAAATTACAACAAGTATTTGGCATGGTAACCATTCTTTATTACTACAGGATGTCAATGTTAGACGTGGTTTTATTTAAATTTTGCATTAGAATAATTCTCATATGGATTTTGCTATAACATAAGAATAAAACAGCGTTGATTTCGATGGAACAATCAATTATAAATGTTTTGAAATAAACCCGGGTCGAAAAAATTGATATTTATAGAAATAGCTACAATTTAACTAGAGGCAAGGCGATTTTTGTAGAAAAAAATTCATTGCTATCAATCTCGAAAACCATAAGATTTTGACTAAGCAAAAGTTTGCAAATAGGTGGTCATGATGTGACCTACTTCCAGTTGCAGGATTATCGTTCAATTTCCGGACACCCTGTATATGCCAGTAGTAGAGAGATTCTTTTTAAGGTAATGTTCTTACTTTGAACTAAAGGCCGGTCCAGACTCTACGTTTTGCACTACCTTTTGTCTGCGCATTCTTAGGACGGAATGAAATCTTTGTAATTTTTAGAGCGTCTGCAGAAATATGTGCATATTTGGCTGTTTTGTGTGATATAGTCATGGAAGAGGTACTCTGGTCAATTTTGGCATGGTGTCTCGTTAAAAAAAAGATTGGAACGTCTCAGAAGTATCCGGCGTTCAAAGTGGTCGCGTGTTTGCAGTTGCATCAATTTCTTTGAATTTGTCCATTATTTGTCCATTATTTATCCCTTTCACTATACTTGGATTTGACATGCCAAATGCATTTGAAACTTTCGCATAATGCAATAAATTCTGTGAGAGACTCCCAAGAACATTGCCGAAGGTCAGCCATTGTCGCCTGATAAATTGAAACTGATGAACAAAATGACTCGGAAAACGGTGCACCGTCTACATGCGCCGACTTGTCCGTACAGTTCAAGAATATCTATGCTCTTTCGCTAAGTTATCGCTGTAACTGTACCGTCTTCGCGCCCGATTCAAAACTGCGCACTTCTCCTATCTACACGCAACGTTTTATCTGCAATTATCTGTGCAGACCAAAGGTTGTGCAAAACGTAGCGTCTGAACCGGCCTTTATACTTACTCCTTGAACGCTTGCAGCATCTCCAGATAGTTTGGCACACAAAGCACCTACAGAGTGTTGTTTTTTATCATACCATGCCATTTCTTGTTTTAACATTGCATGGAATGTTTTCCTTCTTATCCTCAAAGTAAGTCGCTCACCCGCAAAGCCAAAAAAGAACATCTAAAGTTTGTAAATATGACAAATTAATACGTGCATTCACTGTCTATTTCAGAAACAGGGACCGTTAAAACAGAAGGTAAAAATTCATACTACTACAAAAACGCTTCACGTTCACTACACAAGAAAAAATTGATACTGATACATAGGGTAGCTATGAAAGATCAAATATTAACCTCAGTGGGATACCTAGATGATACATCCGGTATACAGGGTGTCCCAGAACCCCTTCGCAATCTCTCGTACAGAAATAACATACCAGAGTGACACGGGAGGTAGACTGGCTGTAGATCAATCAGATAAAATCAACATGTCCTTAGTAAAAGTTTTTTAGTATTCGAGATATTGCTACTTTTAAGCTTTTTCAAAAATTCACTTCTTTTTGCTAATTTTTTGTCTGTTATCGCTGTAAAGAACCTCTCACTCACGTTTTTTTCTATGCCACCATTAATAGTTGGTTGAGACAAGCGAGTATTCATTTCATTGAAAACTTTCACGGTATGCAAATAAAAATTATCTATTACAGTGAAAAAAAATGTACCAGACTGAACCGACAAATGATCTTAAAAACTTAAATTTACTTATATTTTTTGCAACATCATCTACCCATTCTTTTGGAATATGTGCCTCTTGAGACAGAAAGAAGGATGTGGTTACAGAATGATGGGGGCTGCACACTATGCTAGTGCTGTAAGGGGGTATCTTGATGAAACATTCCCTAGAAGATGGATTGGCTGGCTAGGACCAAATTTGGGGCCCCCACGCTCCCAAGACCTGAAACGTCTGGATTTTATTTACTGGGGATATTTAAAGCAAGCGGTCTATGGAAAACCAGTTCGATCAGCTGATGAACTGCGTCATCGAATCCGTCAAACAGCACGCAAAATATCCGTTTTAGGTTTGAGACGTACAAAAGGACAATTTTGAAGAAGATGCAGGTTATGTATGATAATCGGTGGAAAATCTGTTGTGAAATTAATAATAATAGTAATACTCATTTATTCCAGGCAATATTTTCATTTCAAGATGTTAATTTAATTTTCATTTAATCAACCTAGTGTTCCGTTTATTATACTAAGTGACATATAAATCCGAACACCCAGTTTAAATGGTTTTATTTTAATAAAAGTTGGTGAATGTATTTATCTTAGTGTAAATAACAAGTGAAAAAATTTTCAGCCTTATGAGTTGGACATTCCGGTTTTTATACTGCTTTTTTTTAATTTACTAACGCTCTAAAAATGAATATTTCAGCCGCAGTAAAGAATCAACGTTGGCGGATTTTGGTTCTTGACATCCTTTACGATCGGTTACGATGCCTAGAGTACGGGGACCTGTACGATTTCGTCAACGTAGCGAGTTTGATAGGGGCCGTATAGTGGGACTTCGGGAAGCTGGACTTTCTTTTCGGGCAATTGCAGTTAGAGTGCAAAGAAGTGTAGACACTGTGGTTAGGTGTTGTCAGGCATTGGTTCGAGAAGGCCGTACGCAAAGAGCAAGGGGCACTGGACGCCGCCGTAGAACAACAGACCGTGAAGATCGCCGCCTAAGATTATCGGCCTTAAGGGACCGTTTCTCCACTACCAGGTCCATTGCAAATGAATGGTTTGCAGAGCACGGAAGACCCATTGGCATTAGAAGTGTTTACCGACGAATGAGAAGTTTTGGCTTGTTTTCATACCGGCCACACTGGGTCCTCCCTTTAACTCGAGAACACCGACGTAATCGCCTTGAGTGGTGCAGACAACGGTCACTCTGGGATCAGGAATGGAACAGTATTGTCTTTAGTGACGAGTTTCGATTTTGTTTAGGCATGCACGATGGTCGTGCCAGGGTTAGAAGGCGACGTGGTGAAAGGAGGAATCCACAGTTTTTGTTGAAAGACATGTTCATCACACTGTTGGAGTTATGGTTTGGGGTGCTATAGCTTATGGTTCCAGGTCACCTTTAATCTTCATCAGAGGTAACATGAACGCGCAGCGTTATATCCACGAAGTTCTAGAACCCCATCTTTTACCCTATCTTGACACCCTGGCAGATCCAACTTTCCAACAAGATAATGCCCGACCACATGTTGCAAGAGTCACAATAGACTTCTTTCAACATAATGATGTCACATTGTTACCATGGCCACCAAGATCTCCCGACTTATCCCCAATTGAGCACATGTGGGATATGATGGGTAGGAGATTGCTCAATTTGCAACGTCCTCCTCAGACTTGATGCCTGCATACAACAATGAATAAAAAAGGATAATGGATAGCTGTTTTAGACATTTGCTAAAATAAGAAGCGATTACAGTAACTACAAAGTTGTAATTTGGACACAAAAGACAGCTGCACTTATTATTTTTTATTTGTAGTATTTAGAAGGTATTACGACTTCAATGACAAAAGTTAGAATTATTCAGTATTCAATAAAAAGAACCTACAAATTTTATACTATTTTTGAAAGAGCATTAAATAGCTAGTTTTCAAGGTCTGTTGTTGACTCAATCTGGTACATTTTTGTCACAGTCAGCCAAACTTTAGTAAAGGTTTTCGCATGGAAACCAAATGTAATAATTTAGTTTGTTTAGCATGCCGTGCTAGTTTTCGATGAAATGAATACTCGGTTGCCTCAACCAACTATTAATTGTAGCCCAGGGAAAAGATCACAAGTTAGAAGTTCTTTATAGCCATAACATGCAAAAAGGAGCAAAAATTATGGATTTTTTGGAAAGACTCGAAAACTATAAAACTTTCACTAAGGTCATGTTGGTTTTATCTGATTGATTTGAAGCCAATCTACCTCCCGTGTCACTCTGGGGTGTTATTTCTGTATATAAAACAAAAAAGAATGCGACAAGTTCATATAACAAAATGAGATACGTTTTTTCGATCTTATATGTCATATTCACGAAAATCGTTTGGCCCCTCTATAACTTAGCAAGTGCTGCTCGGATTTGCATGACAAAATGTCACTACTAAGCGAAGGACGAAAAAGCTGTAGTTTTTGAAAATCGGTTCGGTGGCGGCGAAAATGGCCAAAAACAAATATAATTAAAATCGTTTAAACATCGTTTTTTATGTTTCAGTGGATCCTGATTTTTGTAGGGTTAAAAATTAGGGGCTGAGGGTTGTAGGGGGTAAGTATATTTCAATAAATTTTTTGATGTAGGTATATTATATAATACATGTTCCACACATAGATTACCTCGTGCATTCACCCTTAAAGCTAGAAATATTTAGAGACACCGGCACGGGTATTATGTAAAAAGCCTATAAAACGTCAAAAAACCTATAAAATGTCATCTTGCAGACTAGGTAGTTTTTAGGGTGCAAACAATCATTCCAAGTTTGCTCACTAGGATCGTCGTGAGCGTCCATCTATGGAGAAATGGCTCAAACTACACTCATACATGCATTGTTGGTTGCATATCTTTTGTCTATAGTTTTCTTCTCTGAGAAAAAAGTTGGCTAATTAGCAAGGTCGCATCTGGATGATTTTGTGAAAATCATTACTGAATATGCTCCCAATGAAGTCTATCTATTAGCTGTGCCCGACGGGTTATTTATATGTTGTCCTTTCTGAAGACAGGTTATGTTTAAAGTTATCAATTACGATTTTACTTTTTTTTGTTTTCAAAAACTTTGAGAATTACTGGAAATCACCACCGCGTCCGCGATGTGTGTAATTACTGTATATGACTTGTAATTCGACATTGTACAGTGAATTTCCTATCTCTCTCTAAGTTCAGCAAATTTGCATATGTAATTTCCAGAATGGATCAGAAAAGGTGGATGCGCAACTAATTTCTAGGTTTGAATCTCAGTAAGTGTATTTGAGACAAAAGTCCATGGAATTCTCATCAACACATATTATTAGCACACAAATCCTCACTTTTCCGTTATCTCTAGTAATGCCATCCTGGCAGATTTTAGATCACATCAGAGCCAAGCGTACAACGTACAACTACAAAACGAGTTCACAACAAGTGTCATTCAGCTAGTGCTAAGTCAACATCTTGTAGAAAAACCTACACAATGTTGTTGTTGTAATGCTACAATGTCAATTTTGTATAATGATTCGGTTACATATTTTTCCTCAATCCTCAATCCATTTTCTGTAATTTTACATTTTGTCTATTAAAATTACATCACGATGCATTTTGATTATTTATTCATAAAGTGATTTTTTAATTTCACCTTAAACATTTTTCAATTCGAACACTGTTTAATATCATTATTCAGTTTCTTAAATTCAAATACTCCCTTTTGAAATATAGATTTACTAGTTTACTAATACAGTTTGGCAGATGAAAATCTATACTGCCTCTAGATTCGTAGTTATGATCATGAGTATATTTTTGAATTTGAATATGAAAACGATAATATATGAAATTTTTCACATTCAACCACTGTAGTTCTTCTAACGTACACTTAATCCTAGCATATCTTTTTTTATTTAAAATGATTCTCATAGCTTTATTTTGTAGAGTTTTTAATTTTGAAAATATGTTTTCATTTTCTGTAAACAAGATGGTTGAACAATATAAAAAATGGGGAAGAATTATAGTGTTATACACAATTTTTTTGGAATACATATTGGGAAACTCTATAGAAGTAATTCATCTTTTTCGATATTTTTGAAATAATGTATTCATAATGTTCGTGAAACAGTAGCTTACTATCCACATATATACCAAGATATTTAAATGACTCGACTACTTCAATTTTTTTATCATTAATCATGAGCCTAATTGTATTGTCACCAAAATGTTTCCCTATTGACATACATTTTGTTTTATTGGTGTTTAATTTAAGTTTATTGACATTTAACCAATTCATAATTTTTTCAATATCACTATTTAACAGTTATGCTACTAATACAATTTTGCAGATGAAAATCTATACTGCCTCTAGTTTCGTAGTTATGATCATGAGTATATTTTTGCATTTCCAGTTCTTCTATAATAGACTTAATCCTAGCATATTTGTTTTTATTTAAAATATATCATAGCTTAATTTGTAGAGTTTGTAATTTTGAAAATATGTTTTCATTTTCTGTAAACAAGGTCTTTGAACAATATAAAAAATGGGGAAGAATTATAGAGTTATACACAATTTTTTTGGATTAAATACTAAGATTATGGGATACTCTATAAAAGTAATTTATTTTTTTTGATATTTCTTAAATAATGTGTTCATAATGCTCGTGAAACAGTAGTTTACTATCCACATTTATTGATATTTAACCAATTCATAATTTTTTTATATCACTATTTAACAGTTCCAAAGCAGTGTCCAAATATAAAAAAAAATCGACATAATGTAACTTTTCAAGATACGTAATACCCGTGCCGCACGGGGGCGCAACTTAACACTAGCTGATGGACACTTGTTGTGAACTCGTTTTGTTGTACGTGTTGCCTAAACGTCATGATGCTTTAGTTAAAAATGTTTGGCTCTGATGTGATGTAAAATCTGCTTCAAAGATGCCATTTCTGGAGATTAAGGTGTAAGTGTATACTACAGCAGTCATTTAACTTTTATTGAAATTTATTTTGCGATGTCAATAGAAAATAGAAATCAGCGCCCTGATCGAAAATTATTTGTCAAATCGCCCACAATCTGTGCAGATATCAGGATCATTTAGTAAAGAAATGTATATTAAGTGTGGTGTCCCACAAGGAACTGTCTTAGGTCCGCTGTTATTCAATATATATTTAAATGATATTTTCCAAATTAATTGTGTTGGCAAAATAACTAGTTTTGCAGATGATACTGCAATATTATATGAAGGCACTGACTGGTCTGATCTGAAAAATGTAATTGAAAATGATTTTATCAAAATTATTCGGTGGTTTAACAGTAGAAAATTAAGCATTAACTACTCTAAAACACATTTTTTACCATTTGGATCTTATGCTAGACATCTGCCAAATTACACAAATTTCTCCTTCAACATTAATGATCAAAAAATGCAAATTAATAGAGTGCCCAACATAAAATACCTTGGAGTGGTCTTGGATCCTCACTTACGAAGGGACATCCATGTTAATTATATTTTAAAGAAAGTTAGATTTGTATCCTACAAAATTAAATACCTTGGGAATATATTGACAGAAAAATATCTTCGAACATTATACCATGCACTGATTGAGCCTCATCTCACATATGGTATATTAGCATGGGGAGCTGCATGTTCCTCACATATCTATAATTTAGATGTTTTTCAAAAAAGTATTCTAAAAATGATATTTAAAAAACCGAAACTTTATCCCACTGAAAAATTATACGCAGATGTTCGAATGTGTGATATAAGACAGCTTTATTTCTTACACAGTATCACTCACTACCATAAATTTGTAAACACCGACCAAAAAATTAAACATAATCATTATACCAGGTACAAAATTCGTGGCACAGTAGTTCCTCAACCGCATAAATCTATAATGCAGCGATCATATCTCTATTTAGCGCCTAAATTTTATGAAATTATACCTAAAGACTTAAAAGATTTACGTTTCGGCTACATTCTATATCTAGGACTGAAATTCATAAACTCATAAATACGAACATCAACTAAATACATAATCTACTGTAGCTAATTTTTGTCCTTTTTTGTCATTTGCATTCTACAGTTTCAACTTAAATTATTGGTCCATGTACAGGCGATGCCTTCTATTGGGCCTGTTTTGATTTTATATTTATCTACTCATATTGTTTGTTATCTTTGTACATTGAGTAAATAAATATTATTATTATTATTATTGCGAAAATGTTTGATGTGTGATGCGTCATTACTAATTTTTCTGTGATGTGGCTTAATTGCACACAACTCGGGTGCAGTGGCGATTTCTCGTAGTGCTCCTCAAAGTTTTTGAAAACACAAAAAAACGTAAAAATCGTAATTGATAACTTTGAACATAACCTGTCTTCAGAAAGGGCAACATATAAATAGCCAGTGGGGCACAGCTAACAGATATACTTCATTGGCAGTATATTCAGTAATAATTTTGTCACACATCACTGATTTTATACACGTGCAACCAATACACATAATCATCCAGATGCGATCTTGCTATTCAACCAACTTTCTTTGTTTCACATCTTCTCAGAGATGGAAACAACAGACTACTCGGCTTCACAAAACATATGCAACTTACAATGCGTGTAGTTGAGTCAGTCCTCCATAGATCGAAACTCACAATGGTCATAGCGAGCAAACGTGGAATGAACTATTTGCACCCTAAAAACTACCTAGTCTGCGAGATGATATTTTATTGGATCTTTTTTGACGTTTTATAGTTTTTTCCTTCATACGCCGCGCTCGTCTGACTGCCACAAAACATACCCGACCGCATCGTCGGCGTTCTCGACGACCTCGAATTATAGTATCGTGGCTGGCGCTTATGGCACGGTTGGCAGGTGTTGTTCAGCACCGTTGCCAGATGGTCGATACTTGTGGCAGGGCAGAAACTAAAGTTAGTGTTATCAAATGGGTTAGGACTATAGAGCATGGCCTAAGTGCATGGGCCTGTTTGGCTGACTGGATTCATTTGATTTTTTGTTATCCATGTTTCTAGCTGGCTCACAGGGATTAATTGTGCCCAAACGTAAAACTTTATAAACGTATGCGTTGCGTGGGAAGTGGGAAAGGTCAACATATTTAGCGTCATTTTTATAGACACTACCATATGAGGTCCCAACTAGCCACTAAGCTGTAAAATTTCATTAAATTTTGCGGAGTCGCTCAAAAGTTATTTGAGAAAATCTATTTCCGGTATCGACATTTAGAAGGCTGTAGGGGAGCTCCATAGGACATTTTTTATACGAAACTGTGGTATTATTAATTTATTCGAAAGATTTACTTATTATTCTGGAACACCATGTATATCAGGTAACTTATAACACTTTAGCATTTTACTTGATACAGGCTCTACAAGTATTACTTTTCACGATCTAGTATGTTTTGTTTCAAGCTCAAGTCAACACGGTAGTGAATTATTTTTCCAAGGATTTTTTGGATTCGTGTCAAGAAGTAATGAAATATCTATTTAATGTCTGTGTTTCTCGTTAGCGCTTCCCACATTTTACATCATTAAATTATAACTTGATTATACTACTAGGTATACCAAAAATGTATATTAGGTCAAAGTTCATTGACAGTATTCATCTACAGACATTTAATCGAATGAATTCATCATCTAACATGAGCCCTCACCATATCTTTAGGTTTCTTAAATCCATGTATCAGTAACTGAAATTACGTAGTGAGGAAAATAGCTTATATTAAAGCTAACAATAAGTAAATGATCATAATCATACCTGGGTAAACGTGGTTATACCGGTAATAATACCCAATAAAAGAAAATAGAAACAATACATATTGCTCTCTTGTCTGACCACCGCGTCATCATCATAAGCTAAAACCTAAAAAAATATTAGTTATTTCAACTAATACTTACTGATACAAATTTTTGGTAGATTTAACATATCTTACCCCCAAAAGACCACCAAAAACAACACCATAAACTGGTAATGAGGCACCTGTGATGATAGAAGACAAACATCCAATGAAAGTTGCATACCATTCTCGCTGATTTAGTTTTATCACTTTTCCCAGGACGCCCTTAGACATCTGCTCCTGTAAAATACCGTCAACAATATGTTAGTAGTGCACAGTAGTCTGATCACTAGTGGAGAAACACATGTAAACAGAATATATATTTGAAGGATTTCTTTTGAAGTTATGAGCTAAATGAACGGCTTTCAACTATCTTTCTGAAATGGATGTGCTTATAATGATAATGTGGAACCTGATTTAAATACCTGTTATCTATGGGAGAAGGGTATGTTGCAAAATGAAGGGGGATATGATATCAGGATGATAAGGAACGGAATCAAAGCTATAAAACAACACATCTTTTTTCAGCGCTCTCATACAAAACGGGTGAAATTTTAATAATACTGTACTTCTACCTTCACTTAAAATTCATTACCTACTTCTGAACTACTATTTAAAAGCAAAAACATCAAAAGCTGTTTATTGAATATTTCTCAATATAAGCTGACTGACAGAACAAGAGCGAAGAGTTGTAAAGCGAAAATAGATGTTTCCTACGAATTTAAATACACCAGACTACCTACTTCAGAATCTTCTTCTAATTCTTCGTTGTCCTCGTTGTCACAACTGTAAGATTTGTTTGATAAACTCAGAGTTCTTTCCAACTTAGGATTATCTAAAATACAAGTACCTGTTAGATTTTTAATGGTAGCTCTAGCATAGAACCGAGGATATCGCTGTTACTCCTTCTTCAATAACTTGATCCGCCAAAAAAGGAAATGCATTTTTGGGTGTAAACGTTATGATAGTCATTATTTAAATGGGTGATAGAGCGGGTTAAAAGAAGCAAAATGTTTCATATAACTTGGGGGTCAAAACGGCATTTTTTAGAGAAAAGCGACTTTAAAGTAAAATAAAATCTGACAACGCCGCAATGCCAGACGAAAATTACGACGGAACGCAGTGTAAATAAAGATGGAGTTTATTATTTTTGGCTCTTAGGTATTATTTTATTATTTGATAATGTACTCGTAAATTGCAAACAATTAAAAAAAACGGACTTACCACTAACTGTCTCAGCGCTTCACCTGGTGTGTGAAAGTTTATCGAACGTATAAAAAAAACCACTTATAAACAGGGAACACAATTTTGATACATACATTATTTTTCTTTTTAAAAATCACACTGCACCTTTTTGTATTTAAAGAAGGTGTTCAAAACGTCATCCTCCACTTTCCACACAAGCCTCATTACGACGAACCCAGTTTCTTCTTACTCTAGCTCCTCGAAGTTGTCCATTTATTATTTCAGCCGCATTAAAATTTTTTTTCGCGTGGCTCTGCTTCAGTTGTTATTGGACCAGTCCCATAAACCATTCCTTTAAGTTCTCCCCAATACCAGAAATCCATCGGATTGAGGTCAGGAGATCTTGCTGGCCATTTTCGAGGATCAGGAGCATTTCGACCGATCCAGCGATTTGGATAATGTTTATTCAAATACTGAATGACTCCTCTAAAAATGTGTGGTGGTGCCCTACCATGAAGAAACCACAAATTCTGTCTCCGTTGTAATGGATGTTGTCGCCCAAGGTCTGTTCAAAAGTTCTGGTAGGTTATTGGCTAGAAAGCTAAGGTATCCTTCTCCTAACAACTCTGGGGGTAACTCGAAAGGGTCAATTATCTGATCGTCAAGAATACCCGCCCAAATATTTATTTGGAAATGACCTTCACGAATGGTATGAGGATTTTCTTGAGCCCACGTGTGAGTATTAGGGAAATTTAATATCCCGTCTCGCGTAAAAGTATATTCGTCCGTCGCTAGAATGTTTTTAAAAAAATCCGGATTTTCAATGTTTTTGTGCAAAAACCTCTGACAGAATGTTAGTCTGCGAGGATAGTCTTCTGGTAACAAGGCCTGCACTCGTTGTACATTGTAGGGATGAAGCAAATTTTCCCGTAGGATTCTATGGACTATGGTATGCGATAGTCCTACGCAGCGGCCTAATTCCCGAGTGCTGATATGTGCATTGATTTCAATGATATTTAAAATTTGTTCCTCCTGCTCTACAGTAACCTGTCTTTCACGTGTGCGAATATTAGTGGGCTGAACACTTTCTGTACCTGTACACTTGCACAAATTTGAGCTGCAAGATTTGAATTCTGATGAGCTTCACCGTAAACTAACAACATGTCTGCGAATATTGTAGATCAACACGACGACGTACGCGAACAAAAACAAAACAACATACTAACCACTGTTGCCGTTTGCGATCGATTGCCGGTTCGATAAGAGTGATGAAAGACCGACGCGCTGTTGTCATGTAGTGTTTTAAATATTTAATTTAATGAAACTTACTTACTTACTGACTACAAATTTTGGCTAAACTTAGAAAAACTTAATGCCATTTATTTGTTAATTACCCAATTTAAAAACGCTTTAGATTAGATTATAAAAATTAGTAAGATTGTGGTGATTGTGGTCGATATAATGCACTTAAAGTTGTAAATTATAAATCCATTTAGACAAAAATCTATTGACTTTTGGACCATGGGTCATATGAACTTTTTGACCCATAGTGACTACCATAACGTTTACACCCTGTATACTGATTACCATACCTTGATCTTCAGACGTGTCCGTAATATTTTGAGATGACACTAATTTGTGATAAGCCCCTTTGGCAGCCATAAGCTCTGCATGACTACCTTTTTCTACAACTTTACCGTCTGCTACAAATACTATAACATTAGCATTCCTGATGGTCGACAGTCTGTGCGCTACTATGATCGTTGTACACTGGCCACTGATCTAGAAAATGTATGAATCTTCAATACACTGGTTTCTGGAATTTGGAGATGATCCAAAAAAGTTTGAGAACAATTTTCAAAAACCCAAAACTATATCCATTCGTTTCAGGATTCAATTTTTTGATGTCCGTAATTATATGTGTATGTGCGGTACTTAGAAAGACACCTAATAACAGAAATAAGTTGGTAACAGTAAATCATACACATTATACACGGAACAAAAATAAAAAGTATTGCAAAGATCCCAAAATCTGAAAAAAGTGTACTACAGGGATCGAATAGTTCTCTACAACTATTTAAAAACAGGAGAAAAAAGTGAATAATGAGAGAATTGAGACACACCAAACCATTTATCTAGATCATTGATTCCCAAAGTGGTCTATATCGACCCCTAGGGGTCTATGACAACCTGCAAGGGGTCCACGTCAGCGAAAAAAAAATTGGGGGTCCATGAAATGAATATGGGGGTCCACGATAGTGGATCTCAACACATACACTGATAGTACCTATTTACTTACATCATACTATCTTATAATATCAAAACATATACATTATTTATAAAAGTACCTATGAAGTAAAAAATTTATTATATGTATACGTTTATAAAATTGTGTAAGTTGTAGGATGTTGGTATTCGCTTTGTGGTCGCAATACATTTTGAACTTGTAAAAACCTGAGAGTCGCAGTCTCAGAGCTTCGCTACCTTGCACTGACTTGTTCAATTCGTCACTCTATAAATACGAATGTGGGACAAATACGTTTATTCGTTTCCTGAATCTTGAATAGGAAAGTGCTAAGAAAATATTTTAAAAAATATAAACAGATAGTATGTCACACAAATTATAGTGAGTCAGTGTTATTTTGTTTGAGAGTGCTGGAGAAAAGTAAGTACATTATTTTTTATTAAATTTTAGTTTTGTACTCGTAGTTAGCAAAAATAGATAAATTACGCCAATCATGACTTTAGTTATTAGTAGTTAAATATTCAATCATGCAAAATTACACGAGTACTCCTCAATAGTTTCTTTTTGAAAGTTTTAGCAATCGGTAATATAATTACAGTGCAATCTCCGTAATTCGAGCTAATTGTTGCAAGAAGATGTTCGATTTATGGAATGTTTTCGGAAAAATCAAAAAATATTTTTAATATACAGCTGCTGGATTTTCTGTCTTATTTAAATAATTTAATTTTGCCCACAGATGACTGATGCCATGTCCGAATCTAAAAAGAAATGTAGACAGTACAGTATTGATTATTTGAAATTTGGCTTCATTCCATCATTGCCGGACAACCTATGTGCCTTTTATGCAACAAAGTTTTGGGCAATGACGCTATGAAACCATCTAAACTGCAAGATCATCTGAGAAGATGCCACCCTGATAAAACAGAGACAGATTTGAAATACTTTCAAACACTCAAAGATAAATTTCAGAAGAGACCTACACTGGACAGAATGTTCGCTTCGACGTCGAAGAAATGATGATGGTTTGCGGGCGTCTTACAATATCTCGTTACTTATAGCAAAATCCGGAAAACCGCATACTATCGGAGAGAAGTTAATTTTGCCAGCCGTTGAAGAGGTTTTAAAAACTGTTTTACACAAACCTGCATCTGATATCATTAAAAGAATTCCCTTAAGCAACAATACTGTTGAAAGACGTATTGATGAAATGAGTACTGATATTGAAAGCTTCTTATGTAATTATTTGCAAACGACCCATTTCTCTATACAACTGGACGAGTCAACTTTACCTGATAATGCAGCATTATTATTGGCATATATTCGGTTTATTATGAATCAAGAAATCTACGAAGAACTGCTCTTCGCAAGAACTTTGATAACCGACACTAAAGGTGAATCAATATTTCATGTTTTGAAGGATTTGGACGTTATCGTGGATTTATAAGCTATTTAAAACAAAATGTGTCAGGGGTGTTAGCAATACATTGCGTCATCCATCGAAAACATTTAGTTGCTAAAAATTTGAGTGTTAGATTGCATGAATCACTTCATTTAGTCATTGATGCAGTAAACCGAATCCGAAGCAACGCGTTGGATACGCGGTTATTTGCGCAGTTGTGTGAAGAAAATGATGAACACTTTCATCAATTACTCTTTCACACTGAAGTACGCTGGCTGTCGAAAGGTTTATGTTTGACAAGATTTTTTGCACTTTTTGAGAATATTTTAGAATTTCTGGATACTAAAGATAAAATTTTAAAAGAAAATTTAATGAAGAGGAAAACAGACATCGCCTATTTAACAGATTTGTTTACAAAATTTAATATGGTTAATTTGCAATTACAAAGGCGACAGTTTAAGTTTGATTAAAACAAAGTCCATCTTATCAGCGTTTCTTGCCAGAGTTAAACTAATGAAGCAAAATATTGGACGGGGCGAATTTTTTCAGTTCCCCAATTTGTCACAGGCAAGCTGCCAGGAAGACGACGTTTCAACTTACATTCAACATTTAAATGCCCTCTATTCAGATTTTGAATCTAGGTTTGAGGATATTATGACTATGGTAATACCACCGTGGATAATTAATCCATATGGTGACATAGAAGAAACGAATGTTATAATACAAGAGGAACTGACTGAACTAAGTACAAACGAAGAACTTAAGGTTCAGTTTAAAAACGGATATCAGCAATTCTGGCTGCAAAACAACATACCCATTGCTTATCCCGTATTATGGAATATAGCGAGGAAATTTTTAATTTCCTTTCCATCGTCATACCTAGTGGAAAGGGGGTTCAGCGCTGTTACCAATCTCCTAACGAAAAAAAAACAGACTGGGCATCATTAGCCGAGGAAATTTTTAATTTCCTTTCCATCGTCATACCTAGTGGAAAGGGGGTTCAGCGCTGTTACCAATCTCCTAACGAAAAAAAAAAACAGACTGGGCATCATTAGCCGAGGAGATTTAAGATTAACCCTTACAAAATTGACGCCAAATGTTGATAATTTATTATTAAAACAGCAGGTTCGTCCTTCTCACTAAAAATATTGACTTACTGCTTATGTTATTTTATTTATAGTTTATTTTATGTTTATTGGTGTCTGACCAATAAATGCCCGCATTGGGAATAAGTGCCCGCATTGAATTTTTTATTGAACCCAACTTTATAGATTTTTTTTTTTAAATTATTCTGAAAATTCAAGGATAGGTACACACTAAAATTCGTTAATTTTTTGCCTATTTTTAGATAACTTAAACGTATAAAGAGCGGAATTTAATCAAACTAACAGTGAAATTATTGTAGAACATACGTTTATGTTATAATTAATAAACGAACTCGCTTATTGTACTATTTTAAGTAAAAAACTTTTTTTTTAAATTACTTTTCACTTTTTTTTTATTTTATCCCTCTTATTGTTTTTCAATGCGGGCACTTATTCCCAATGCGGGCACTTATTGGTCAGACGCCTGTTTATTTAATGTTACGTATATTTTACATAACAGATACAAAATTTTATTTTGAGTAGTTTTAATTTAAATTCAATTAATAAATGTATAAATTGACATGTGTTTTGACTCTTTAAGTTTTTAACACTAAACTTCACTACAGTTAGAAATTTACAGGAAATCAATATCAGTTAAGTAGGCGGTCTACCCAACACGGAAAAACATGGTAAGGGGTCTACGACACAAAAAAGTTTGGGGAACTCTGATCTAGATCGAAACCATAACAAATTTGTTAGTATTACTGAAAAGAATACCCATAATACATTCCTGATTGAGTCACTTGTACAAGAACGAAGTCATTCAAATTTTGTGGTATAATTTGGATTTAACCTACTACAAATTTAATTCCAAGCCAGTACTGCTAACCTGATCAAGACATATAAAAATGTAAGTTATACTGATTTGAAACTGTTATTAAATGTTAATATGTAAGTACTTTTAATTGTTGCACCCGCGTTCTCCTTCTGCGGATTCTGGATTTATTTGTACCTCAAAATATGTTTGTGTATCAAACATTTATTATTTCTTTGAGGCAAATAAATCTTATTGTCATTATTTTTCGTTATAGGTAATGTTCAATGCTTTGTTGCAATTGGTATGTCTTCCTTGACACAGTAAAATGGTAGGTAGTTTGGACAGAGACCTTTTCATATCGGAAAATAAAAAAGCTCTAAATATCTCAGTTCCTGTTGAACCGATGTTTATAAGATTTTTTCCAATAACAAAATAACTCAGGAGAAATATTTTTTTTGCGTTTTTATTTTGTAATGTTTGTCTATGTGCAGAAAAGGTGCTTATCAGTTAGCAAAATATATAGATTGCGCTTAATTGGTTTTTTAGTTGAAAATTTTCAATTATTCAAATATCATCTCCATCAGTGGTGAGCGGCACAAAACTCGAAATTTCAAACGTTATCAGCTTGAGTTTATCAAAATTTTACAAAATAATCCAGGGGCGGATTCAGTTTTTTTTATTCAATAATAATAATATATCGTCTTCATTTAGGGCGAAGTTTAGCTTACAGCCACTGAGCCCTTAACAAAAATATATGAATAGAATAAAATGTGTAAATTATATATATATATATATATATATATATATATATAATAACAACAAGTAGGAAAATAATGGGCAAAATCCGCAAAAAGGAGGAAAGTGGATTCGAGCAGAAAATAGGATAGGTAACCCGAGCGATATTTATTTCTGCTGGTTGCCTTCATCAGGCCCGAAATGAATGCACATATGAAACTACAAAAGTAGATCCACATGCCCACACATCCGGATACGGGTGTAACCTGAGGAAACGAAGTTGTAGGGGAAAAAAACGACACACGAAGTCCACAACAATTTTTTTTTCTACTTGTTGTTATATACCTTTCTCCGCATGATCATACACTCTTTGTAGATCCTTTGAGCTTGAAGTACCACAGCAAGTGGCTATAACTGGCCGCGTGGTGGTGGTTAGACGTCTCCTTGAAAATTCGAGGTCGTATAGCCATTTTATACTACAATGTGTAGGTTGGCTCTTGT